GACTCATAGCGACCCCTCCTTGGGTTTCCGAGGCAGTATCACTACGGAAGTAGATTGCCCCATCTTCCTTCCGAATCTGTGCGTCTCTCAAGTAATCAGAATATTGATGTGAATCCCCAAATTCCACCCACCCTACTTAGGTTAGTTGTTGATACTACACAATGTGTAGACACCCTCCCCCTCTCCTAGGGTTACTTACAGTTGCAGGCCCGGCAAGGAGAGGCTACAGGAGTGGGGAGACAGCAAGTGAGAAGGCCCGAGTTCTGCTGCTGCCTCCAAGTACCCACGACTTCCCTTTCAGTTTTAACTTCGATTTTTCTATCAGTAAATTAGGGTGAAATTAGGGATGACATTTGTTTTGTTTTGTTTCACTTTAACTTTACAGTTTGAACACTTTAGGGGCTTGTCTCCTCATTAGTCTTTTATTTATTCAACAAGTAATCTGTAAGACAGATAGATATCCCTCTTATTGTATATTGCCTTCACTTTCATCCAAGTTAATATTTGTCTACCCTCTAGGTAGTGGTTACCCTCACCTCTGGTAACCACCTATCCTTCATTGACAGTGGTATATTAAAATCTCCTATTATTGTGGGGGTGTCTATTTCTTTTTTCAGTTCTGATAAAGTTTGATTTATCATTCTGGGCTATTTCATCAGGTCAGTAGACATTTATTATGGTTGTATCTTCTTGTTTGATTGAGCCTTTATACATTATATAATGTTTTTCCTTGTCTCTTATGCTGGTTTTTGCCTTAAAGTCTATTTTATCAGAAACTAAAATTGCCACTACTGCTCTTTTTTTGATTACCATTTGCTTGATTTTTTTTCCCCCAACTTTTGCTTTTTACTCTGTTTTTGTCTTTATGTCTGAGGTGTGTCTCTTGTAGACAGCATATTCAAGTCTTACTAGTCTAGTGTGTCTTACACTAAGTCAATGCTTCTAAATTTTATGTGGTGAAGGACCAGTTTTTTGTTTTGTTTTTATATTTAATCTGTTGTAAACTGAAATTTTTTGTAAAATCCAGTAAAAATACTTAACTAGAGAAATGAAATACTAAAAGACATGCAAATATAAGCTTACATATTTTTATTATTAGACTTTAGAGATAGAAAATACTAAGTCGATTTGGTAAAAATTTCTAAATAGTTACTCTCTGTTTCTGTCCTTGTTTTAAGTCAGTTGCTGTCTAGTTGACTCCGATGCACGAGGACCCATTTTCATTCTGTCACAATCATTGCTGTGATTTTTTTTTTTTCTAGTTATATCAGAGGAAGAAAATGAGCTAGGGCTCTTTTTAAAGTTTCAAGCAGAACGAGATGTAACTGAAGCTGGCAACATGATGGATGCCACTGGCAAGGCACTCTGTTCATCAGCCAAGCACAGGTTTACTGTGGTTTTGTATCATCCTTAAATCTGTAGTGGATATGACAGCTTGACATATGAACCTGAATTTTCGTATTTGTAAAAGTCACTGATCATTCCAATAGAGGGTAAAAGAAGTCTATCTTGTAATATGTAATTGTTTTAATACTTAACCATTAATTATTCATTTTGTATTTAAAATGATAGTTTAAAATTTTGAAGTTCAAAAAAAAATTGAAGTTCTTGGTTGCTTAATTCCTAGAAGTAGCATTTAAGCCTCTATTTACATTTCTTTAGTGGTTTTATGTAACCAACTCACAGATGTACTGACATTGAAGTATGTATATCTTCATTGTAGTCATTCACTTTTCCTTGATTTTATACTATCCATGGATTGCTTGGAACATTTTTAAAAAATGGGAGACTTTTTTTTCTTCTTTCTTACAAACTTTTCATTTATCATTTTACAATTTTTTTTTTAGCAAAATGATACCTGCTGTGAAGAATCTCCTACAATTACTAAGTACAGCCAAAATTATTGTGTTTTTAGAAGAAAAATTGAACAGGCCTATCAGATGGCAGTATGTTTGTTTTTTTGTATTTTATCAGAATCTAGTAATGTCAGGGTCCAACTTAAGTGCCTTTCTTTATTCTGAGCTACCACATCAGTGCAAAAGTCCATCTTGAAGGAAGCAACAGAAAAATACAGCGCCTTCCAGTGCCATTGAGTCATAAGCAGTAAAGAGTGTTGTTGTTGTTGTTACGTGCCCTCGAATCGGATGCTATGATCCCCCTCCGTGGGTTTCTGAGGCTGTATCACTATGGAAGTAGATTGCTCAACCTTCCTTCCAAGGAGTGGCTGGTGGATTTGAACTGCCAGCCTTCTGGTTAGCAGTCAAGTGCCTTAGGCACTATGCTACCAGAGCTCCCAAGAGTGGTTGGATTTAATTCATCTTTCTTCTTTCATTTTTAATTGCTAAATATGTATGAAATAAGAAATCCCTGTTTTCTTGTTCTCATTCTCAGTTGCTAAGAACTTAATTCTCATTAGTTCTCCTAGCATTTTATCTGTTCTTCTATCCCCAGGCTGTCCCTAAATTGTCAAATGAAAGATTTCCTATTTATAGAATTATGTTTTATGAATGTAGGGACTCGAATACATATGGAACTCTTTTCTAAGTGGCGTATTTGGCAGATTATTTGTAGATGGATTAACATTCAGAGTTTGACAAATTTATGTATTTCTTAAGAAGTATAAACAAAATTTTATTAACAAGTTGGCTATATGATCCTATTTTTAAAGTTCCTTAGGCATTGTAATAATTTCCTGTAAGTAGACTCATCATGCCAACAAATAAGCTTTATGGCCATTTTGGTTTTGTTTTGCTTATGAGTATCTATCCCTCTGATCTTTATTTCTCTGCCACCAGATTAGCCCTATATACTCCCCTGTTTCGTCTAAAACAAGAAGTAGCGACATTCAGTCAAAAGGCAGTATCTGATACCTTGATGACAATTAATTGGATGGAACAGGCATGCACAGAGTACAGAGGAGCCTGCTGTGGATGAAAGATGTATCTCAAGAACTAGACCCAGACACCTTAAAACAAATGGAAAAGTTCTATTCCTTTCTTGATACATAAACCACTGGACTGCTACAGAATAACTTAATCAAGATCATAAAATGGCAGATTATTTTTGGAAAATATATGTTAAATTAGAAATTCTTGGTTCCTTTAAGATGGTCGGTTAAAGGACAAAATATTGCCACATTTTTATACTTTTCCCTACTCGCATCAATCTCTTTTATTAATATCTTTTTATCCTTTTCCTAATAGATCTAACTACTCTTAAGAACCAGAGGGCTGGTGGTTCAAACCCACCAGCCACTCCTCAGAAGGAAGGTTGGGCAATCTACTTCTGTAGTGATACCACCTCAGAAACCCAAGGAGGGGTCGCTATGAGTCGGGTCCTACTTGATGGCAAAACAACAACAACAAATCAAAGAAATATAACAGAACTGTATTTAAATGTATATTTTTACAATTTAGAACTATTATTATTGTAATGTATTAGTACATTTTCACTATGTCTCATCTAGATTTATTCTTCTACTCTTAGCTAAATATTATACTACCCATGAGTAATTCTGGATGTTTCTTTTTATTTGTTGTTGTTATGTGCCATCGAGTCAGACTGAGTCAAACCCCTCCTTGGGTTTCCGAGGCAGTATCACTACGGAAGTAGATTGCCCCATCTTCCTTCTGAGGGGTGGCTGGTGGGTTTGAACCTCCAGCCTTCTGGTTAGCAGTCAAGTGCCTTAGGCACTACGCTACCAGAGCTCTCCAGCAGCAACAACAACAGCAACACTCTTAAGAAGCTGCTAACCAAGAATTTTGGAATTTGTTTGCAGGAAGAAAATAGCTTATTACTGAGGGAAAAAAAAAAAATTAAGTAAAATTTCATGTAAAATAATTTATTAACTATAAGAAAAAGTCACTCACACCCACTCACTGCCGTTGAGTCGGATCTGACTCATAGCAGCCCTTCCTTGGGTTTCCAAGGCAGTATCACTATGGAAGTAGATTGCCCAACTTTCCTTCTGAGGAGTGGCTGGTGGGTTTGAACTGTCAGCCTTCTGGTTAGCAGTCAGATGCCTTAGGCACTATGCCACCAGAGCTCCCATAAGAAAAAGTAGAGGTTATCAAATTTTTCATTCTGTCACAATACAGTGTTTGATCACAAACTTTTAAAGTAGCTCTCTATGTATGGGTACTAAATAATTCCTTATTATAAATTATCCCCTAAACTACTTATACATGAATAATGAAATTCATTCACTCTTTCAATTAATAAATACTTAGAGTACTTATAATAAAAATAATAATATTTAATATTGGAGTCTTTACTCTGTACCATCAGTTCTAAGTGGCTTACTTCATTGATTACTTCCAAAAGCCCTGTGAGGGAGGTGGACACATGGCTTTAGGCCGCAGCAGCCTCTGTATTCATCCTCTTTACAATCTTTGACAATTAGAATCTAATCCGACCCCTATCTGGACCCCAGAAACCCTGCATGGTCTGACTTTTCTGCAGCCTCATCTTGCACTTGCTCCCTAACCTCAAGCCCTACCTTATTCTTTCCTGTCTGTAAACACTCTAAGCTCTTTGTCCATCATGACCTTTGTCCTTCCTCTTCCCTGGGGCAGGAATGCACTCTTCAGGGTCTCATCATGGCCCCACTCATAATCTTTCCGTCTCAGTTCAAATCCCATGCACAATCTTACCAAGGACTTCCCTGATCATCTTATCACAAGTAGTCACTCCATTTCTGTTCACTTATATTTTTTACCTTTGCAACCTGAAATTTCCTTTTGCATTTATTTACTTCTGATTTCCTGTGCCTCTCTACTTGGAGATGATGAGGAAGAACACTATCTTGTCCATCACAGTAACCTCAATGCCTAGAAACAATGCCTGGCACATAATGTGTGTTGTTGTTAGATGCCATCAGCCCACTTCCATAGAGTCGAATTCAACTCATAGCAACACATAATAAATACCTTATAAATATTTGTTGAATGAATGAGTATATTTAAAAGTTAAGTATTCACATTTGATTCACCATATATCGAAGAAATATAATAGAATTGTATTTAAATATATATGTTCACAATTTAGAACTATTATTATTGTAATGTATTATTACATTTTCACTATGTTTCATCTAGTTTTATTCTTCTACTCTTAGCTAAATATTATACTACCCATGAGTAATTCTGGATGTTTCTTTTTATTTAGAATAAATATTTTCTTCTTAATGACATGCTTTCCACGTAGCATAAAGATACTTCTTAGCATAAAGATATTTGCTGGAAAGCAGTGCCTACAATTAATAAAAATAGCCAAAATCTTCATCAGTAATCACAAAATAGTAATAATATAGGAAAAAGGGTTTAATTTTCCTTATTACAAATTTATGTGTCTGGAAATATATATTATGAACCGGTGTGCTATATTAATATCTCCAACACTTTTATAGTTTTAGGTACAGATCCAAGTGAGGAATAGCAAAGCTTCTTTTGATAAGTTAAAGATGGAGGTTTGCCAGAAAGTGGGTTTACTTGGAGCTAGCCGCTGCAATATGCTATCTCATTCCCTTGCTACCTACCAGACACCCAACTCCATGGTCAACGTGTCCTTGCAGTAAAGAGGAGTGGTGAGATTCCTTTTTAAAAGTTGCCTAAAGGGTGTGAGAAATTGTATAAATGATCAGGTTTCTTTGATATTGCTATAATTGACTTATGGAGGTTATAACAGTCAAGCAATCATAGCATTCTAGACATTAAAGTTTGCCGCCTCCTATAGCTTTCCGTTCTGCTTCCTAGTGTTCTAGGGGATCGTTGAGAGGGACTTAGAGACCAAATGGGGTTGAGGAGGAGAATGGCAAGGGCATCGGAGTCAAGGCCTGTTAGCCCTGGTTCACGCAGAGCTGCTGTACTGCTTTTTGAATTTTCACTTACAATTTTATTTGAAGCAAAGATGCTGTGCCCAGAAAGTGAAAACCTTTTTGTTTTGTTCTACTGTCATTTTATGGATGAGGAAGGTGAAACCTGAGAGAATGAAAGCAAATGGCAATGTGGTCTTAAAACCTATTTTCTAACTCTGGGTTGTGCATTCTTTGCATTCTGCCAAGTTGTCATCCCTGACCACTTCAACCTCAGAAATCTCACTTGAGCTTAAGTTAGATGTTAATAAACAGCAGTGACTTGTTTTACAAAGATTTGTAAGCAGCAAGTAGGAGAATGAACTGTCTTCATATAATAAAAGGAAAAGGGCATTCCTGGTTGCTTTTAAGGAATTTATCTAATTCCATTCAATATTGTAGAATTCAGGAATCAAGAAAGGATGCATTTGGAAAAAAAACAGTATGTGACAGTCTGCATAGCATAATGCCTGAAACGCAATAGCTGTTAGTTCTGTTCTCTCCACACTTGGCCCTCACTTGAACAGGAACGGGGAAGCAGCACAGAAAATGCCCATTTACCTGAGTTAGCTTGAGATCCATTTTCTTGTCAAGTGTTTCTTGAACTCCAGATGAAAAGACCAAATTTAATTATAAATATTAATTCTCTCAAGTTAATAAGTGCTTCTATATGCCTTCCAAAGTAAACATTATATATCTGTTCCTCTGACACAGATGGCTAACATTTCTCTATGGATTACTTAGAAAGTGTTCTAATCCATCCACTCTCCTTCTCTTGACGGCAGTTACTCTCTAGGTGGCTCAAGTGTACATTCCAGTGCTGTGTACACACACATTCATGTAGATATGGATGCCAATTCTTTCACAAAACTACTATTTACAGGATTTTTTGGTTTCACAAACGGAAAATTGAACTTAGCTCCTGCTTCTTATTTGGCAACTATTCATCTTTTTTTTTAATATATATTATTTATTCATTTATTTATCTAATACACTAGTGAAGAAAAATAGCACAGGGAAAGCAGAAATAGTGTCACCTTTCTTTTTTCCTCAGAGAACACTGCTTGGATTCTGGGAGAAAACAGCTCGAATGATGTCCCAGGCACACGGAGAATGTGCTGACTTCCACCCATATGATTTTGTAGCTCTCAAGGTGAATTTATTTCATGTTCTTTTGTTGGAAATATTACACTTCATTTGAGTGTTAACATTAAAATTATTTCTCTGCAAGCCCTAATTGCAAATTTACAGAATATTAGGAAACACTTTTCTGCATTCCTCAGCCAAGGGTCTGTAGTTTCCTCATTCCACATGCTGCCAGCAACAGTAATAATGTGTTACATGGGATAACCATGACAGGCTCAAGATATTAGTAAGGTGGAGAAAAAAAGAGAAAGAAAGTAAAAAGTAAAATTAAAATACAATGCAGATAAGAAAGAAAAAGGTAATGGAAAGGAAAAACTTAAGAGGAACAAGTGATGGAAAAATGGTCGTGTGTTCTCAAAAATGATTAACTATCTGACAATTTTAGAAATTGAAAAAAATTTGTTTTACTTTTAAGCTGATGTCACAGAATATATTATTCTCTAGAATTTTTATTCTCACTTTATTTGCACAGTATCGATATGTCAGTTATGGTCATAATGTGTGATTGCAGCTGAAGAGACCACCAGAGCAGTTCTTTCTCTAATGTGCAGAAGTGAAAGATGATCTTTGGCTATGATTATAAATGCTTTTGACGTTGCATATCTCTCTGTCATCCTTCTTTGCAAATTACTTGTCCAGCTAATCATTTCTTCAGTTCTGCTAGATTAGATTTCAGTACCTTTTATCAGTCTTATTTTCAGTAGACCTTGAAAATGTTGCTTGTGAATTTGCTCAGACCAGTGTCATATCTTTGTTAAGTTCATTTCTTAACTATATATTCATGGAGTTTGGTCTAGATTTTTAAATCATGTTCTGACACGGCATTTTCCAGTGTAAAAAATGCTCCCCCCCCACTTCTATAATAGATGGTTACTGTGTATTTAGACAAATTTGGGGCCTCATTTCTGCTTTGAATTAAAGTTGAAAATTTTTGGCTACATTTAGAGCATTGTAGTGCAGTCTAGCCACACAGCATAAGTTTTCTTTAGGCATATCACAAAGGTGTTAACCCTGTGGCTAGCCCACATCACAGTGTATGTGGTTCCCATAGGTAGCCAGGATGAACAAGAACATAGGGCAAATTCAAACTGCATTCATACACATTTCTCTTATCTCTGCTCTCTAGGTCTAAGAGTATTCCTATTTTATATTGTTCTTTGGAATTTTTATTCTCATTTTGTTTGCAGAGAGAGGAAAACACATCCTTTCCATCTAGTTAACACTCAATTTCTTATCCTTAGCAACTACAAGACACTTCAATCAAGCTTACTGAAGACCACAAAGAAGAACAAATAGAAAACAGTTCTCTTACTGAAAACCTCAATAAGTGAGCAGGCAAAAGTGAATAGTGTTGTGGCAGTCTTGGATACCACTGTGCCATGTATTTGGAAAGAGATGTTTTTCCTCTGACTTACTGATACTCAATACTCATATATATGTCATTTTCCCAATTAATACTAAAAATTTATTCTGAATACTCGTATATATTTTCTTTCCATTTTTAACATGGTAGGCAAAGGAGATGACAGGAGGACAGAACAAACTGGGGCAATTACTCTAGGCTCTGTAGTTTGGGAAACTGAGCCTTATAGTAAAAGCCACAAGTAGCCCTAACCCAGTGACTCCCAGAAGGGGCAGCTGGAGAGAAGAAAGGGACAGGCATTGTCTGTGTTGTGACAAGAGTCCAGAAGACCCCTGTTAAAAATCTGTCTAAACACAGATGTGACTGGGATTGGTACCTGAAAATGGGGCTGTTTCTATGCACATCCTTCATGTTGCCTGTTTCCCTTTGACTACCTCTCTCCTTCGTCTTCCTCTAAGAGCTATTGCTTTTTATGCATTTTAGCCAGATTGCACTGGGTATAAAGTCAAAACAATGACTAATCGTACATTCTTGAGTAGAAAATCCAAACCAGTTTTTTTGGTAAGTTAATAATAACTGTCTTAAGATGTAGGTTCAATAATCAAATGTTTAATTAGAAATTAAAATTATTTAAATAGTTATACATTGATATTTAAAACCATGTTACATGAGATGTTAATATAATTTTTATTAAATTTTATTATACTTTTTCACTAACATATTGCAAGTTTTACTAAAGAAAAAAAGCTACTTTTTGAGTTAATTAACGGATTCCAAAGCACTTTACCTAGTGTCCATCTAAGTTGTGTAGAAAACCATGTAAGTGTATAATCATTGGAAATTTCATTCAGTCACAAGTATTTGCTTGTTCTAAAGGTTGAGTTTTGTGATGATTGCAAAATACTATATTGTTTTTTATGTGTTTATGAAGGCTTGCTAAAAACAACCTCCATAACTAACAATAGTGAGGTCATACCCCAGGAATAATGACTAAGTCTGTGTTAAATTTCTTTGCCTTTCTTTTGGATATTCGATCAGATGAATGCTGTCAAAATTAGTACTGATTGAGAGTGTTTTGAGCTAATGTATCTTCTTTTGTAAGCATGACTTTGTTGTTCAAAATAGTGTACCCTATTGTTTCACAAGTTTATTGTTCTCTCTATTTAGTTCCCAAGTGTTCTGGAGCAAACCCTTTAATGCTTGAAAACTAAACTCCAGAGTCAATGGCTTTGATGCTTCCTTTTAAGCTTGTCAAAATTGACAGATGGTCTCTATGATATAGTACATGGCACAGTCCCTGTGATGCTGAATAAGATGCCTGGCATTTGGTACTCAGTAAATATTTATTGAATGAATGGGGGAGGGGGGAAAAAAGTTTAATTGCATAGTTGGTGTAGATCTAAGGAATAAACAGGAAATTCTCTTAGACAAATTTCAGGAAATCTACTAGACAGTTATTTCATATGTCTTCTGAGTTTTTCAAAAAACTATGGAACTGTTTATTGAACATGAATCCCAAATGAATTTTAACCAGAATCTTTGCATTTTTAAAATTTTCACTTCAGATTAGTTATGTTAAATGAGGATGCAGACTTGGAAACTGATCCAGGTAAGATGGTAACATTCCTTACTTTGAAATGAAATGATCACATTTTAAATATCAAAAGAGTTTATTGCAGCTTTTTAAAAGAGATTGTATTAGAATCTATTTAATTGAAAAAGACATGTTAAGTAAGTCACTTTATGTACACTTTTGAGTTATCTTTCTAAAAGTACCTAATTAGAGGGTCCAATAATCTTTAGGAAATCCTGGTCGAAAGATAGGTGTTTCTAAATGCTGAAATCCAATTAATAGATAATAGGGTTGCATGTTCAGGAGCTCTGGTAGCATAGTGGCTAAGACACTTGCCTGCTAACCAGATGGCTGGCGGTTCAAACCCACTAGCCACTCCTCGGAAGGAAGGTTGGGCAATCCTACTTCCGTAGTGATACTGCCTCGGAAACCCAAGGAGGGGTCGCTATGAGTCAGGGCCGACTCGATGGCACATAACAACAACAACAACAACAGGGTTGCATGATTCAATTTCAAGCTTTCCTCATACTTTGTGTTCTTATTTTTTATTACAAATACATATTTTATATGTATAGATATATACATATATATATATACACACTCAACACATATTTGAATCATTGTAAATATGTGGTAAATAACACAGGCTTTCAAGCCAGAAAAATGGATTTTTCTCTGGGCTTCAAATGGATTTGAATCTGGGCTTTTTAATCAATGCTTCTCTCAGTTTTCTTATCTGAAATATGGTGATTTATGCCTACTAGTAACATTAGTGTTAAAGATAATATTTTTAATCTACATAGCACATACTACATGCCCAATAAATATGACAGCTATTTTTAACTAGATACCTAAATAGAAGTTATACTGATAAAAGAAACAATTTAATAAGCCATAATAATCATGAACTTGTATATCTACCATAGCTTCAAAATATATGTTCTGAAGGTTAGAGGGGTTATTATAAACATTGGTTTCCTGATTTCCTTTTCAGAGTTCTCTTTATTAGTGTGGAGGAATCCTACTGATTTAATCTCACAGCCCTGATTACAATCCCAACAATAAAAAGCTCTCCTCTCTGTGACTGTCTCTTCCCTGTGCCCTTCTTATCTATGTATTCCTGTCTGTCCAGCTTTCTCTTATGCAAATGCTGCCTTTCTGATGTCCCACGGTTGATTGATCCAAGGGCCCATCTCCCTAGAGTAACAACACAATGCAACCACTGCCGTGGAGTGCGATCTGACTCATAGCAACCCCTCCTTGGGTTTCTGAGGCTGTATCACTATGGAAGTAGATTGTCCAACCCTCCGTCTGAGGAGTGGCTGGTGGGGTTTGAACTGCCAGACTTCTGGTTAGCAGTCAAATGCCTTAGGCACTACACCACCAGAGCTAGGTGGGTGCATCTCCCTGTGGTAGGTGTTCTGCCTATAGCCTGATTTTTGTATGTTAATCTTGTATCCAGTCGCTTTGCTGAATCCTTCTATTAGATCCTGTAGTTTTCTTGTTGTCTCTAGGATTTTTCCATATATGTTGTTATGTTATGTTATGTGCCGTCGAGTCGGACCCGACTCATAGTGACCCCTCCTTGGGTTTCCGAGGCAGTATCACTAGGGAAGTAGATTGCCCCATCTCCCTTCCAAGGAGTGGCTGGTGGGTCTGAACCGCCAGGCTTCTGGTAAGCAGTCAAGTGCCTTAGGCACTATGCTACCAGAGCTCCCATAGGATCATATTATCTTCAAACAGAGATAGTTTTGCTTCTTCTTTGCCAATTTGGATGCCTTTTATTTCCCTTTCTTGCGTTATTGCTCTGGCTAGGAGCTCTGGTGGGAGCTCTGGTAGCATAGTGGCTAAGACACTTGCCTGCTAACCAGACGGCTGGCGGTTCAAACCC